GTCGGGCTATGGTGAACTTCGTCATTTGGTCGACCACCACAGCGATGTACCGGTATTTCTTAGTTTGGGTCACCGGTAGAGGTCCTTTAAAGTCAGCAAAGACGCGGTACCAAGGCGCAACAGCTTCAGTCGGCTGCAGCTTACCGTAGGCAGCTCGCCGCGGTACTTAGCCGAAAATACACGTCTGACATCGATCGATGTAGTCGTGAATATCGCAGCTCATGCGGACCCAGTAGTACCGAAGTTTGGCTGCTTCAATAGTTTTGCGGTATCCAAAGTGGTTCCCTGTTTTTCCATCATGGAGGGACTGGATATATTTTTCCGCATAAACAGAGGGACAACGAATCTCCTTTCGAGTTTCGCATTGATGTTGGTGAGTCGGTAGAGCACACCTTTGTCCATCTGGTAATGTTCAGGTAATTTGGACCTCTTGTCCATTTCGCTTTGGTGTTCCAACTCATGGATTTTCTTGGCCAGAGTTGGGTCACGGTGTTGCATCCGTCGCAGTTCTTGCGCGGTGCGGTCCGTGACTTTTTCTGGACACGGTGGGACTTCGGGCTTTGGATCTCCCAATGTGGGCGCCGGTACATTGATCACCCTTATGTCCGCCGTGCTGAAATGGTCCCAATCTGTGATTGCATTGCAATCGGGAAGGAGAGGCTTGTCCCATTCATTTGCGGGGTCCTCGTCCGTAACTTGCAGCCTGCGCACCTTTATGATGCGTGCTGGAATCTCGTCTTTGTAATCCTCGAAGTTAGGGACTTGGTCCAACTCTTCATGTGGGCCTTTGTCATCGTCCCGTTCGAGTGGCCATCTGGACAATGCGTCAGCGTTATCACAGAATGTGCCTGGTTTGTACTCAATGGTGATGTCCCGTCCCTGTAAGGCGAGGGCCCATCGAGTAAGACGAGGATTGATGCCGGGCCGGTTAGACTCGCATCTGAGCAGTTTGGTTAGGGCTCTGTGGTCCGTCCTTACTGTGATAGGTCCGTGGTCAATGTAGTGCTTAAACTTTTGGACGGCCCACACTACGGCTAAGCATTCCCATTCGGTTACGCCGTAGTTCTTCTCAGCTCCATGTAGGACACGGCTTGCGTAGGCAATTGGCCTCGAGTCCTGGCTGAGTATGGCTCCAATGCCAGCGCCACTTGCATCACATTCGATGGTGGTCTGTTTGGTCGCATCGAATTTGGCCAATATTGGGGCTTCCGTTAGGGCCTTTTTGATTTCGTTGAACTCAGCGGTGTGGGCGTCGGTCCAGTCGTTCTTCACTGAACTTTCCTTCCGCAGGAGTTCATACATCTTGGAAGTCTTCTGGGCGTAGCCCAGAATGAACTTCCGGTAGTAGTTAGCGAGTCCAAGAAACGAGCGAAGTTGACGGTCTTGGGTGGTAGTTTCTCGGCGATGGCCGCTACCTTCTCGGGATCAGTATGGACACCGTCCTTGCTGAGGATGTGTCCGAGGAAATGGAGTTTTTCCATTCCAAATTCGCATTTCGACGGTTTTATTGTGAATCCGGCGTCTCTGAGGCAGAGGAGCGTGTTTCTAAACGCCTTCCTGAATTCCTCGAATGTCTTGCCGAAGAATATCACGTCGTCGATGTATGCGAAGACGCCGCCTTGTTTGCGTGCTGGCGCCATAATCTTGTCCATGGTCATTTGGAATGTGGCTGGCCCATTGCAGACGCAAAACGGCATTCGTTTGAACCGGAACATCCCTTCTGGAGTCACAAAGGTAGTGTAGTCCATAGACGCTGGGACAATAGGGATTTGCCAGAATCCGGACTGACAATCTACCTTGCCGTAATAGGCGTTGCCTGCACATTGATCCAGAAGTTCGTCTGGATTGGGCAATGGGTAGTTGTTCTTTTTGGTCACCGAGTTCAGCTTTATGTAATTTATGCAGAACCGGGTGCCCATGGTCCCGTCGCCGTTTTTCTTCGAGGCGAGGACCACTGGGAAACTCCACGCTGCCATGGACGGTTCAATCACGCCTTGGTCCAACATTTCTTGGACATGCTTATTGATGAACTCTCGTCCCTTCCAACTCGTTCGGGTTGGGTTCATTTTAATTGGTGCAGCGTCGCCGACTTCTATGACATGGGTCACTCCCTTAACGTCGCCGTAAGGCTTTTTGGACGTCGGGAATATGGCCCGAGTTCCCATAAGTCCTGACGGAGTAGAGCGGTCTGCTTTTCAGTCAGGTGGTCGCCAAAATGTGCGTTGGCGATGTGGGCGCGGATTTCGCGTTCCACTTCTGGGTCTTCCTCTCCGGTTTGGAGGGAGTTGATCTTGGCGTAGTCTTCATGCGAGATTTCCTCCTATGGCTCCACTTGGCCCATGTTAACTCCTTTCCGGAGTATATGTGGCTCTTTGGAGTAATTTGACACCAGTATGGTGAAACTGTTGCCATCATGCTGGACTGGTCCGTCGAGCATGGCCAGACTCCGTTTGGTGTCTTGGCTTCCGAGGAACATGAGTTTCTGTCTCGGGTCGACAGGAAAGTCAATGCTGACTTGGACCGGGGTAATGGACTCCGGTGGGAGCTCCACTTTTACAGTTGCCCGGACCATAGCATGGTCGTTAATAGTGCGGCACCGGTTTGGATTGTTCCCTGCCGCTTTTGGCCATGGTAAGGCGTCGGCATTGGGAATTGACCAATCTACGCCATCCTCCTTGATGTCTGGCTCATATATGTCGCTGTAGTACATGTAGCCAACTTTTGCACCTTTGCGGAGGATTTGGTCGCGTCGGGGCTTATTTTGGACCTGAATCCACGCGTGTTCGCCGTTTCGAGTTTGGACCTCTGCTTCGATCGGTATGACCAAGCGGTGTGGTCGTCTCAGCGATTTAAAGTGGACTGGCCGTCCCGGGTCCATAGTCCGATAGGACCGGACCTTAATCCAGCAGGTCGAGTAGGCTGGTTAGGTGTACCGCTGATGAACGAAGACAACTTCTGTCTCTTCCTCAAGGCCGTCAGTTGAACGTTCGGTCCGCAGTTTGCGGATTACCGGTGCCTCGGCTCGAAGTTGGAGAATTTCTGTGTCCTCTTCGTCATCGCTTGACTCCTCCAATGATTGGTTATCGGAGTCCGTGTCCGGTGAGTCACTTGAGCTTTGGGCGTCCGAGTCGGTCGACTCGGGTTTGTCGTCTTGCTCGGGTTTTGGCTTGCCATTGTCCTCGTTAGAGGTTGGCGCACCGCCGGCCACTCTTGGTGCCGATTTGGTCACGAGATCGACTTCTTGGATCTCTGGCGCTCCGGTTGCGATTTCCTGTTTTTCAGGTTCGTCCGGTCCCGCCAAAGTGGTTGGACGGTTCCCATTAGGGAGTGGCGAGGCTGGTCGGCTTTTGCCCAACGTTGAAGCGAACGGGTTTGTATGGCCCGTATTACCGCTTCAATGCCGTCTCCACATAGGGGACAAGTCAATTGGACTTCCTCTGATGAAGGGTCCTGCTCGTTCTGGCTGGTGTCCCTTCGATGGCCTCCCTGTTCTGGGTGTGGGCCATCGTTGAAGCGCACTTTTGTCGCTATATGCGGTGCAGCTTCCGGCAATGGTTCCGGTATGGTCCTGACGTTAGTCAGGCTTAAGTCGTACTTGGGCCATATGCTGACAGTTAAGCCAGGGTGTTGGGCCACTTGTCTTCAAAGCGTTATGATGTCGTCGAAGAGATCTGTGCACATCTTTTGTAGTGCTTTTGGCATTTCCATGTGGTACTCCCTGTATTCCCACACTAGGGCTCTACGTTCGTCCTCCCATAATGCTCCTTCTTGGATCAAGTCGTCCAGTTCTTGGGCAAACGGTCCGTATTGTGCGGCAATTTGCGGCCACGTTAGTGGTTCGCCTTTGTCTTCAAGCCAGCCCTCTTCTAGGGCAAGGAGTTGGTTAGCGCGGTATTTCAGGAAACTTCTGACTCATGTGAACCAAGTTTTGTAGCGCTGGACCAGGTTCTCCTTAATTTCTCTGTCAGGCACCGGCCGTTGGCCCGGTCCCTCTGGTATCGGGATAGTCTTTACTATCCCGTGATTTGGCTTGAGTATGCCTGCACGGAATTGGGTCATGTAACGCTCGATTGCGTTATAGACGCGCAGCTCCCATATGAGGCTTTCAATGGTGTCCAGGCATTCCCAACAGGTAAAAGTTTGGACAGTCGGTTCGCGAAGCCGATTTATCCGCACCTCGTTGTCGGGTCCCGGTGCCTCTGGTATCGGGATTGACTTTACCGCGTCCCAAACGATTTCTTCGTTTGGCTTCAAGATAAACGTAAACTTGGAGTGGAGATAGTCACAGCCAAGTAGGACGTGCACGTCAGTTAACGTCGGTTGGACGAAAAACGTGTGGTGGCTCTTGTATCCCAGCAGTGTCACCGGTACGGTGCAGCAGTGGGAGACCACAAAGGCGGTTTGTCCGCCAACACCAAGGATTTTGGTGTTCCGTCCTAACGGCTCTATTTTCATGCCATTGGCGGTGCAAAATTGCTGGCTGATGAGGGATGTCTCCGATCCAGCGTCCAGCATAGCGAGCGTGTGGACTGGTCCGATTTGGACTTTGTGCGTCCATGGTCTGACAGTCTTCGGTTTGCGATTTTCGTCGAGGCCAACTGTCACTTCCCGCATCACCGGTACTATGGGGATTAGCGACACTGGTCCTGGATCGTCAGGAGCGTAGTGAGGTGAAGGTGGCTCCTGTTGGACAGACTCTTCCTGTGGTGGTGTTTCCGCAACCCGTAGGGTCGAAAACATGCTTTTAGTGTTAAGGAAGGTCCGTGAGCTGTAGTTGAGGCTCCGAAAATCGACTTGGTCGCCTGCAGTGCGACTGTCGGCCTGGCATCATTTTTAGAGCCAGATGGCTTAAGCGCTGGTTTGGATCCTGGATCCGCTGGTAGGCTGTTGAGCCATATGGGTTAGTTTGGGATCCATGTGGGTTAGTAACTGCACAGGGGTTATGTCCGGCGGTTTAGGTTCCGGTCTTAGGTCAGGTGAGTTGCCGATACTTCCCGACCTTAGGCGTTTCCCGCGGTTGGGCTGGCCCGGCTAGGGCCGCCGCCGCTGTTGCCATTTGGCTTCACCAGCTGGTCCGGTATGGGTGGTAACGCTGCCCTTTCGTTGGCTGGCGTCTGGTATCCTTGTTTTGGACCATTCTGCCGGTTGCCGCCACCAGACCCGCTTCCTGAGCCGGTGGACTGCCTTCGGCTGCCACTCCCCCCACTACCACGTGGTGGTCTGGGTTGTTTGGGTGGCACTAAGCCGAAGCGGTTAGGGTTGCCTGACCCGGTAGGGTAGCCTTTTTGATAGCGATTTCGCCAATCCAAATACCATTTTCGGTTTGGATTTTCGCCATATGGCCTGTTTGCGTAGCCACAGCCGTCAGTTGCGTGGTTTCCCCACAGGCAGTGGTTACAGGTGATAATCCCGTCTTTGGCCCATCGCTCGAACATGCGCTCGACTCGGTCGATGTACATGTCCTCTTGTCTGCGGGCCTCTTCGGGGCTCAGAGTCTGGCGTTGGCCACTCTGGCCTCCCGGGCTTCGGTTTTGTCCTCCAGGGTTGTTGCCGCTTTGGTTTCCGCTAAAGCTGGCGTTTTGGCCCTTGGAGAACTTGCCTTCTGGTCCTCCGCCGCTGTTGCCCTGGCTGTAGCCATAGTTGCCCTGGTTTCGGGCCTGGCCATAGCCGCCACTACCGCCGTTAGGCGGTGTAAACCCACGTTGTGGGGAGGATAAGTTCAAGGCCGCGATGGCGGCGTATGTTGCCTCAATTTGGGCTTGTGTAGCCTGCGGGGGATAGAGTGCCGGTTGTTGTGGTACGACTTGGGCTGGTGGCGCTTGTATGGCCGTTCGGATTGTTGGGTATCCGCGGCCTGCCTTCCCTTCGTACTCCGGCTTTCCCATAGTATATTGCCGGACGTAGTCCCGGAATTCTGCCGGTGACTTTGGTATCCGGATGTCCAGGGCGCGGCGCAGTTCTGGCTCCTTCACATTCTCTCTCAAGAAGTGAAGCGTCATGGTGTCGTCCAAGCCGGCGCGCGTCTGGAGAGTCAGCATAGCATCGTAATACTGCTCAGGGGTTTCGGTCAAGTGTTGATAGTACCGCTGAGTAATTTCTCCCATGGCAGTGGCCTGCTGATTATCATCACCATATCGAGTGGCAAACTTCTGGAGCCACTCTTCCAATGTCCAACCGTCCTCGTCTTCACGATTGGCTTGGCCAGTGTACCATTCTTTTACAGGGTCCGATAGGGCCATGTAAATGCGGCTCATAAAGTCCGGATCTGGTTTGTTCCGATCGGACGACTGCTTACAGATCCGTCGGACCTGTGCAAGCCATCCTTTCACCATTGTTTTGTTGCCGTCAAATTTTGGCAACTCGGTGCGGACTTGAGCTCTCGCGGTGGCTTTTCCCATCTCTTGGGCCATTTCTTTGATTTGCTCTCTGGTTGAAAGAGCTGGACTGACCGGTGGTGATGGGGCAGGTGTTGGCTGCTGTGGTATTAGCGGCACTTGCTGAGGTTGGGCCCACATTGGTTGGCCCGGTACGATCTGGATAGCCCCGTTGGACGCCATCATTGCGTATGCTCCATTCGGGAGCTGGACCAACATGGGCGCATTTTGGCCCTGGCCTGGTTGGGCGGCTGGTCCTAGTGGCATGGCCGCTGTTGGCGGTATGCCTGGTGGTTGGGGCACATTTTGGCCCGTGGGCGTGGTTTGGCCCATCTGTGGCTGAGCTTGGCCCGTTGGGGCTGCCGCCGTGATAGGAGGGCCAAATAGGCTTAGTTGGCCTACTCCTGGTTGCTGCACCGTTGGTGTACCACTTTGGCCTCCCAACTGTCCTTGCATGGCCGATGGCCCGAGCGTTGAGCTCAGCGGGTTGGTCCGGTTTGGATCCATGCCGCTGGAGTGAGCCTGGCTTGTGGCCGGTTGTGGACTAAAATTGAAGTCCATGTTCGGGAATATCGACGGATACAAGGACGGGTATGGTGGCATTGATCCGAAGTAGCTGTGGCTGGGTGTTGCCTGGCTCGGGTCAAAGCTTGGCCCGCTTGACGTAGACGGATAAGTCTGCGTTGCGGGTGTCACTATCGTCGTTGGACCAATAGTGGCTGTTGTGGTGACCGGGACTGGTGGTGGCGGCAGTGTTACTGTCGCCGTTGATGTTCCGCGGTCCACCGGGCTGGGGGGCGCAGGTATGGTTGGCCCCTTTGGAGGATCTCCAACCGATGGCCCTTCCACAGCCATGTTCACATGGTAATGCTGCTGATGATACACTGGCTCGCGGTAGAAGCGTTGGCCCTGCCGCAAAGCCTCGTCGACTTTTTCTTGTTGACGTTGTGTATCCGAGTCTGGAAAGGTATGGTAGGATGGTGGTTCTGCGGACAACTCGGAGTTTATGTCTGCGAGATGTGATTTCTCCGCGTATAAGCGGGCGTTTTCCGTGCTTAGCCTTTCCAGTTCCTCATTCATCTCAGTTATACGTTGGGTGGCCGCCTGGTAGTCTTTGACCAGGCCGGCGTTATTGGCCTCCAAAACGATGATCCGGTCTTGTTGGCCCTGGATCACCTGTTTGGCTTGATTGAAGGCCTGCTCCAATTGGACGAAGTTTTGATGTCCAATGGCGCTGTTTTGCTCAAGTTGGACCCGAATGGTTGCTTCGGTGTTGAGCTGGCTCTGGAGGGCAACGATCTGTTGCTGGAGTTGCACGTTCTGTGCCTCCTTCTGCTGAACCGTTTGGCTCATCAGTCCTCCTTGTTGGATGGTCTTCATGAGATTCTGGTGGCTCTCATAAAGAAGGTTGTATCCATTCCGCAGACGGTTGATTTCGTCCTGCAGATTGGACAAGTCTTCAGTAAGACGTTCGTTTTCCCTCTGTAGGCGGTCCGCCTCAGAGTCGGTGTCGTCAATATTGGTCCGGGCCGCAGCCAAGTCGTCCCTGGCTTTGGCCAGCTCGGTCCTCGTAGAGGTGAGCAGGGCTTCAAGGCCCGCCACAGCCGTTTCTAGGCTGTGGATTGTCCTGTTGAGCTGGTCTCGCTCAGCATTAGGACGTGGTGACAACTTGAGCTGAGTTAGCTCAAGTTGGGTCTGGGCCAATATGGCCGAGACACGTTTAACCTCTGCGTCCGATTGGAACGCAAGGTCTTTGTGTCTGCAGATCTCGTCCTGCATCCATCGTTCAGATAGCAGGGAAGCTTCTGCGATGTCCGCTAGCTGTTTGGTCAGGTCCCGTACTGTGGTCCGAAGTTGGTCGACTTCATCGATCTCCTCGGGCCGGGTTGCCTGCATCGGCTTTGGCGGGCTGACGTTGGCGCGGCTTGTGTCCCAGGAGGGCTGGTTAAGGTCCATCCTGGCTGTGGCCCTGTTTAATTGTGCCAGGTCCACAATTGGCTCTTGGTCCGGTTTGGACGGGCCAGACGCGCCGATGACGTCATTGGTCGGCGATGGCGTTGTATGGGTTGAGCCATCGACTTCAAACATGATTGGCGATTGACTCACGGGCTGTTGGCCCTGGTCATGTGCCTTTGGACCAGCCTTTTTGGCTTGGCCCTTTGCCTTGCGTCCACCTTTGGCCACCGTTGGTGCCTCAGGTTGGATCTGGTCCGAGCCCGGTAGGGTTGGACGTGCTGTCAGATACTGGACATCAAGGTTGGACCGGGCCAAGTTGTTTGGCTCTGGTCCATCGGTGCGTGTCTTGTCCTCACTTGTGGCCGCCGTTGGCGCCTCAAGTTGGACTTGGCCCGGACCAGGTATGGCCGGTTGGTGCGCCAAGTCCCGAGGGACACTGTTGGCCTGGGCCGTCCTATCGGCGCCAGGTTGGCTGTCCTGAGGCTGGTTGGCCTCGGACAACTCGTCGGATGCCTCCAGGAATGTGTCGTCCCGGGTGGCGTCCAGACTTTCGTCGCTGGTTTCCAGGTCGGCCGGCAGGATTTGTTTGTCCCGCCTGGCTCTGGCATCGACCGAACTCGTTGAGCCGGCCGAGTTTGGCTCGTCTGGGTCAGAACTGCCTTGTTTGGCGTTGCGGAACCCGTAGGGTCCCGTTGGTTCACGCGTGGCGTAGTTTTTCCTGAGCTGCTTTTTGTATTCATTGGGTTGGCGCCTGTCCATTGGACTGAGCAATCTCCGTTGGAGTTGCTCATGGCTGGTATATGGCATCACCTTGGCCAAGGCGCTTTCAGTTTGGCCCATGGTAGTGGGACTTAGGAGGTTTCTTTGGTCGTGGTCCGGACCGGAACGTTGAGTTAGCTGTCGCTGGTTGGTGCTGGTCAGGTACGCTAGAGCTCAGGTTTAGCGTTAGCTTCCCATGGCCCTATGTTACGTTACTGACCAGTGTGACGTCACGTACGAAATGGTCTTGCAAAAAGCTCTACGTCACGAGTGCCGTGAGCAAAAATGCAAAAAAGTATGAGTCACTACGACTGTTATAACACGGGGAAGTTTCTCACGTGTTCTGATTGGTCGAAATTTTATGGAAAATCACCACGCTGACGTCACGCGACTTTTTCGCGAAAATTCCGGCTGGACAAAATGGCGGTTGTTTTTCGCCGATAATTCAGTAAAAATCAGGAAAAAATTCTCGAGAGTTCTGTTCTATTTCTCTAGTGCAGAATTTCTCAAGGAGCCCGAAAAACTATTTTGGAGCAAATCGGATAAACGGTTGAAAAGTTATGAAGGGTTTTATTTAGGTTCTACGCGGAAACCTCGAAATTTTCAGAAGTTCTACGAAAACCTACGCGTCACAGCAGGTCTTACCGGCGGTTTGTTCGCTCCAGACAGTGCTGCTCCGTCGTCCACTTCACCCTCTTCTACCGTGAGGGCCGCAGCGCACCCGATAGGGCGTAATGGTGTGACAGGACCGTACCGAGCGCAGTTTTTGCGCCGGGAGCCAAAGCTGCGGGAGGTCTACTTTTAGACGCTGACCCGTATCATGCAACCCGGTAGGGCGCTTAATTGGTCAACAGGATCGTACCCAACTCAGTTTTTGAGCGGGGAGCCAAAGCTGCGGGGACCTACTTATAGGCGCCGACCCGTATGATTAATCCGTCGCGCTGCGGGTTTCCAATCAAACCCGTATGATGCAGGAGATGGTGGTCGCGATATGGCTGGCCTACTTTTAGCCAATCAGCGTAGTTCGACCGATTTATGCCTTCACTGGGGGATCAGAGGTTACAGGAAAGAAAACCGAACGATACTGCTACCATGTCAGATATGACACAGAAGCAGATGGAAAATGGGGCAAAATATGCCTTTATTGTGATAGCAATAAAGCAACAACAACACAAAACCAACAGAAAACCCGATGTGGGAAAAAGCTGTGGAAAAAGTGCTTGCAGTGCGCTAGCTGGGAATCGTGATAATGATTCCGCGTGCTGCCGGTGTGCAACAGCTGATGCTGCAAAGCACGGAATCGCCCGTAAGTGCTAGGCTCCACCCCCAAGAGTGCAGAGAAATGCGCTGATTGGTCAGCGTAGACAAAGTATACGCTGAGTGAGCAGCGTAATAGCGCGGCACGAGTGGCGTTGCCACGTACGGGCGGGCGACAGAGAGAGCCACGAGAGGTGTCTACCGCCTCGAGTGAGCGGTCTCTGACAACATAGTGTCAAAAATGGGATACATGCACTAAAACTTTTGCTTGCGCGCACTCCGAATCACTATGTTTATGTCATTCTAAAGTTGAATGATTTGTATACATTGTTCTGAAAACCGATTGCGCTCGCAACATCCGGTTGCCGAGATATGGTGTATTAAAATACGCGAAAAGTTTAAATGCATTGTTGTGTACCAAAAGTCTGGTTAATACCCGATCTTCTTGAAACTTTGCTGTAAAAAGCACATGGCCATGAAGTCGAAAGTGAAACAGTATCAGATCCATAGCATTTTTTTCCGATTTTAAAATGAATTTC